ACGAGGACGAGGACGAGGACGAGGAGGACGAGGACGAGGACGAGGACGAGGACGAGGACGAGGACGAGGACGAGGAGGACGAGGGAGTGACGATGGTGAAGGTGATGGAGAGTGTTCGGCTGCTTCATCTGCTGTCTTGCAACGAGAAAGCTGGAGATGTGGGTAGAGAGTTGTCCTCGTTCTTGACATCTTGACGTCCTGTACAACAGATGATCGTGAAAGAAGACGGCTTCGCTGATATCTTGTTACATGCGTTCCTCTTCACAACGGACGATGAGTGAGAGGAAGATGGAGACGATGGAGATGATGATTGAGATGGAGATGATGATAATGATGGAGATGATGATGATGATGATGATGATAATGGTGGTGGTGGTGATGGTGATGATGGAGATTGAGATGATTGTGAGGAGGAGGATGTCTACTTGTAGAAGGAGGAGGAAGCTTGTTGCATTGACTTTCACCTCAGCACAGCAACGTCCATCTGCGAGATCCTTGACAATGTTTGTCGACTTTCTCGCAGGAGGCGGAGGCTGACGGCCTGCCTAGGTGACACCCAAGGTCGAATTTTTCGATCCGGCGAAGCAGAGGAGAAAGCCCAAGGAGGGGGAAGGGGAGGAGGAGGCGAAGAGGAGGCAGGAGCTTGAGATGCAGGATCATGACGCCTTCGTGGCGCGGTTGCATGCGTTCGATGCTTTCATCGAGAAGTTTGCTGTCCTGAATGGACCAGAAATTGACCGAGTGATTGAAAGATGCATCCTAATCCTCAACGTTAACGTACAGAGGTCTTTGAAGTCTCTCCTCTCCTCCACTCCCCTCCCCTCCGCTCTCCCCTCCTCCTCTCTCCTCTCCTCTCGCCCCCTCTTGTTCTCTTACTCTTTCCATCCCTTCCACGTCTCCTCCTTTACCTCTCCCTCTGACTTTACCTCAGTCCTCCTCCAGACTCCTCGGTCTGGTGGATGTTGGAAGTTGGGACCAGGCGGCTGTACAAGAACTGGGAGAGGATTGTGACAATAGGAGAAGGACGTTGCTCCTGCAAGGAGGATGAAGAACTGCTCTTGGCATGCACCCGAGGTGAACCAAGGGAAGCAAGAGACTAGGAGATTGGGACGAAGGACGAGGACGAGGCGGAGCAAAGAGATGAGGAGGAGGAGAGAAGGGGAGAAAGGAGGAGTCTGAGGTAGTGCGGAGCAGCAGCAGCAGAGCAGCAGCAGCAGCAGCAGGGCATTGACTGCATTCTTTGACAGGCCTGCATGTTCTGCTCCTGCACGCGATACCGATGATGGAGGTGGTGGAGGAAGTGAGCTTGCGGATCTGGGGAACCAACGCAGAAAGTGAGGCGAGGAGAGGAACAGGGGAGGGGAGGGGGGAGTAGAAAGAGAAGGGGGAGAGGGGAAGGATGGGGAGCTGGAGCTCGAAGGAGCGAGCCAGCGAGCAAGGAGGGCGGAGGGAGGAGGGCGGAGGGCGGAGAGGGCGGAGATAGTAAGTATTTGCTGCAGAAGCACTCGTGGAGGTATGCGGGACGCTGGATGAGGTGGACTGGGAAGGGCGGGAGGTGGCGAGGAGGGTTGGGCTGCCGATAGACGAGCGGGAGATACGAATGATTGTGATGCTGCTCGAAGAGAGTCTGAGGCATGTGAACGAGGTGAGGAGAAATGCGGAGGAGTGAGGAAGGATGGGACGGAGGAGAGTGTAAACGGGAAGAAGATAGAAAGTGAAGGTACGGAGATGGGAAGGATCTTCGTGAAGAGAGGGAGTGTGTGATCTCTGGACAGCAGAGTGAGAGGGAGAGAGAAGGAGGAGGAGGAGGGTATACAGAGAGCGGGTCAATCGAAGTGTAGACTACATTCATGAGCAATACAAGTGGATAAAAATACACAAGGCACTGGGATCCCTTTCAAACAAGAGACGAGCAGACGAAGCAACAGCTGGAGCAGGGGGCTTCATCCAGCAAGAGACTCCACCATCTCCCCCATGTTGTCGATGTCCAGGAACAACGACTCCATAGGCTTGCCCTCGAACGCGATCCCGTGGATGCTGTTGAACAACGGATACTCCTCCAGCTTCCCCTCCGCCTCCAGGATCTTCACAACCTCCACCGCCGTCCCCGTCCCCTGGATCTTCTGCCCGTTGAGCAGCTCCGCCTCGAGCTCGTCGAAGCTCTTCTTCCCTCCTGCCTTCACAAACGCCTCCGCGCACTTGCGGTTCCTCCCGCCGTAGCAGGTCACGATCAAGTCCGCGACCCCGCACGACTCGAAGAACGTCGCGTCCTCTACCTCCGGGTAGTGCGACTGGATGAAGCGCTTCATCTCCATCATCCCGATGCGGATGATCGCCGCCTTGGTGTTGTCGCCAAGACCCATGCCGTCCACGAAGCCGGCGCCAAGCGCAACCACGTTCTTCAGCGCTCCGCAGATCTCCACTCCCGGCACGTCCTTCCTTACCGCCACGTGGAAGTTGGGGTCGTGGAACAGGCTCTGCAGCAGGGTGCCGTTCGTCTCGTCCCGGCAACCGATGGTCGCCTCGCAGAACTGCCCCGCCGCCACCTCCGGCGCAAGGTTCGCTCCCATGAGCACGCTCATGTCCATGCCGCCCATGCCCTCCTTGATCATGTCCGAGATCAGGACCATACCCTGCTCGTCGAAGTGCACGCCCTTGATCAGTGAGATGCCGATGCAGCCGGGCGCCACGCTCGCCTTGATCTTCTCGCACAGCCCGTTGAGGAACTGGTGCGGCAGTACGAAGATGAGGATGTCGGCGTCCTTGGTCGCGCTGCAGATGTCCGGGTCGGCCACGACGTTGTGAGGGAGCTTCTGGCCCGGCATGTACTTGGGGTTCTCGTGGTCTTGGTTGATGATGTCCGTGAGCTTACGGCCGTTGACCGTCTCCTCGAACACCCACTGCTTCACGGTTGAGTGAAAGGTGTCCAAACGCTGGCAGTTCCGTCCGATGATCCTGGCGATTGCGCTACCCCAAGCACCAGAGCCAACGATAGCAACTTGTTTGCGCTGATCGAATTCACGCGTCCTCTTCATTGTTTGCGATATAGAACTGAGATCCTCAAAGTATCCTCAAAGTTTCACGAAGTTTTGCTGCTGGCAATGCGTCACGAGTCTGATACACGATGTAGCTCGACGTTTTCTAGCGGTTTCTGGTAACTGTAGCAAACAAGCAGTTGTCTGTCTCTGTTGTCACGTTCTCTTCTGGTGTTGCCCGTGCCACAACCTTGTCCTTCTGCTTTCTGAGATCCCGCCATGCTCCCGCCCCTCTCTTATATACCCTTCTGTTCCCCCACCCCACCCTCTTTACACCCCACCATTACCCTACCCTTCCTAGTCCATAACCTACCCCAACTTTGCTACTACCCTTGACCCCTTCACCCCACTCAAGGAATCCAAATTGTGGACTACCCACCTCGAACACCTGAAAATGTACCCTACCATACGAAAACTAGACCCCTTCAGGACCATCGACCACCACCGGTTATACTCCGAACCTTCATTCTAGAACGATTGCTTTACAGTACCGGTGTTAGCTACTACCTCATACCCACCATTTTACAGACAGCCACTTACCCCGACCATGTACACTCTTTGACTACCCCTACCCCCAACTTTGGGAAAAAGAATCATACTACCGGGTCCTATTACGCTTTGATCATTTGCACCTACCCTCTTGGATTATCCACCCCTCGTAGAGTACCCCTCACCCTCAGAGGAAATGATTTACTAGTTGTTCATAACCCACCCCCCAAAGTCCATGTCACCATGGCACGATCAGAGGGTGGTAGGGTGGACCACAGAAGGTACGAGAAGGCAACTCCTCAAAGTGGTCAAATTGGTGAGTTGATGATTGTGATAAGGGGGTACTTGTCATGGGGGGTAGATCATTGTGAGTCTGAGCACCGGGTAGTTGAAGGTCAAATCACCGGGTAGAGAAGAGAGGAAAGAGGGTGTTATTGGTTTTCGTGGGGTGGGTAAACGGGGATGCTGCATGGCCGGGGCATGGCCCCGTTTTTAAACAAGCAACGTTTCGTTACAAGGCTGAAATGGCGGCAAGCTCAAAAAGGTCATGTCAGAATACACCGGTACTTGAAGGTGAATTTTGGCTCTGAGATACAGGTGGGTCTGACTACCCCCGTGCCAAATGTGTGGAATTTCTGCAACAAAAAGCGCCAACTTTCTTTGGAATATGCATTGCGTCCCCTCAATACCACCCTTCAAGTATTCTAGAATCCTGTGATAAAGCACCCCTCCTTTTTGACCCTACATGGGGGTCAACTCCGAAGGGGGTCATCTGGAGTGGTCAAAGGCTGGTCAAAAGGAAGGTGCAACTTGCCCACTACGATTAACTTGTGGTCAAACCGAGGGAACCCACAACCGGTCAAACTGAAGTAGTAAAATAGTAGTCACCGAGTGGTCAAACCTTGCGACCCCAGCGGCGGGGGCGACTGCTCGTGTCCCCTGGGTTTTGACCGCAGCCAAAACTGGTGCAGGTCAAACTTGCGGTCAAACGCCAGCGCCCCCGGGGACCCGGTAGGGCCATGGCGGGGACATGGTCCGGCGTTTCAATTTGAAAACGAAATGCGGCTAGTCGCTTTCACAGGTCGAGTAAAATTTCAACTTGGGCGCGGCTTCGGCTTGCATCCTGCCAGTGTCGGTCACGGAGTCCGCCAGTGAGTGACGGCCCCGGCGGCCGGTAGCGGCCGCAGTGAGTCAGAGAGCCCGGCGCAATGATACGGTAGTTTGCCAGACCGTCTCCGAGGCTCAGTGTCATCAACTGGCAAGTTGTGCCCGGCCGGGCCGGGGGGCCGGGCCGCCGGGCCGGCCCAGCCTACTACCCGGCAGTCGGTTCCGAATGTCTAGCCGCAGTGAGGCCCCGTGGCTTACTAAATCACTGTTAGTACTGCGGCCCGGCCCCCGTACCGTGACCACCGTACCGTACCGCCGGTACTGTCCGAGTCGGCGACGTGAGTCACGCCACTGTGACCGTACTATACCGGCGTAGGCCCCCCGCTAACTGAGCCCGGGCTAACCGAACGGAAGTTTGACTCGGCCGCGCACCGTGAGCGGTCGGCCGGGCCGGGGGGGCCGCGGGCCGGCCCGGCCGCAGTGCCGGACGGTGAACCCGTCCCGATCGGACTGACACGCCCGGCCGGGCCGCCGGAACCCGGGCCCCGGACTCCGACTCCTGGGCTCAGCCCCTGGCAGGCCCAGCGGCAGACCGGTCTTCAACCGGGCGACTCGGGGTGACTCGCACGGTACGGTACGGTCACCGAGCCCCTGGCAGAGACAGCCTGTGAGCCTCTGGCTCAGGGCTGCGCCGAAGTTCACTAGAACACAACTTGAGCACGACAGAGGCTACTCCGGACTCCGCTGTCCGGCGGCTAGGACATGCCATGATGAAACCTATTTCCCAAGTTCCCTACAGTGACACGTGCGGCGGGGCACTGGTGTGCCGCTGGACGGTGCGGTGTGATGAACGAGTCTGTCATGATCAAGTTGACGGTCCGATCCGGTGTCACGTGTGTACAACACTCAGTCCGGAGTCCGGAGTGGCCCACATTCAATGATTGCCACAGGAGGTATAGAATTTTGTAGCGACATGTCAATAACATAGAGGAGCAATGGTTTACAGTTGTGATGTTGTGAATGTATACAATTCCCAGATGAATCGTGCCTGTGAACCAAGAAAAGTTGTTGTAGTTTCTGCCAAGTTTCCTGCTGATATCATGTGCAGTTACAACCCGAGATCAGACTGGAACCCCCAAGAGTTAAAAGTTCGGTTCCTCTCCTGGTACTTGAAGCAGAGAGCGTTCATATGGTTCGGCGAGCACGCGTTTGCCTTGTCGCAAACCCACACCTCCTCCTTCCCAATGATCATCTCCGCTCCCAGACCGCCGATAGAGAATGTCCCCTTTTCCTCCAAGATCGTATCCCAGGATACGTCGATGGTACACGCTGACTTTTCTGGGCACAGCCAAGTCGCAGGGCAGGCGAACACTTGCTTGTGCAATGAAAACATGTCTAGCTCGCCAGCGCATCCCGCCCTTCCTCCCGGTTGACCGATGGGCCAGCTCAATCTTTCGGAGCAGTTCTGCGCACTATCATCGTATGGATTAAGATGTATGCCCGCAGTTGGAGAGAAACCAACACTGTATGTGGGATGATTGTAGAAGAAAGTTCCTGGCACGACCTCTGTCGCTGTCCAGGTGTTGATGTACGACATCAGCGCGCTTGTGGGGATCATTGCTGACAGGATGACTTGGTTGCCACGTGCGGTGTTTGCAGCTGCAAGCACAAGATTCGGCCAGTATGCGCACCTTGTCAAATCATCTTCTGTAACGGTGTCGGAATAAGGTTTGTCCATACAAAGAGAGCATGCGCTGTAAATGCTATTTGCCATGTTGAGCTTGATGCCCTGAACAGAGGAGGAGCAGAGATGATCTCGTTCGATGGATAGGCAGTCACTTGAGCACCCGTCTCCATTCCTTGTGTTCCCGTCGTCACACAGCTCAGTTGGACTTAGGAAGCCATCTCCACAGACGTTCCTATCTCCAGCTGGAGATGCGGACGGCGCTGATGGTGAGGGTGTGGTTGATGGAAAGAGAGATTGTGCTGTAGTAGTTGCGAGAACAGATGAAGAGGAGGAGTATGCGTCATACTGCTGCAATCTGCAGGCCAACAGGTCAAGATCGAATGGAGGACTCGGGCAAGGTGCTAGCGAACCTGCGACCGCCGGGCTCATTCTGGGCATCATTTTTCTGGCATCAGGGGAATGTCAGAGGAACAGCCCATGGACATCAACGTTTCTTACGCTGTTTGCTGTGCTAGAGCATAGGAGAGGGAGGAGGAGGAGGAGGAGGAGGAGCGCTTTGAAAGAGAACGATGCAGCATGCATTGTGAAAGTCTCTACTCGAGTCTTCCAGACCCACCCTTCTAGACTCTACCCCCTGCAAACCTGACCCCACCCTTGCTGTGGTGACTGACTGTGTCCCTTCATGCATACCCCACCCATCATTATGTAGTATGAAATACCGGTGATGAGTACAAATAAGCCACCCCACCGATTCACCGATTCACAACATCTCATCTATAACCCACCCCCTCGCCATCACTCACTTTTTTACCAGCCCAGCTGCTAACTTACAAAAAAAAGCATTGAGCTCATAAGGGCGCTAACTTAAAAAGGGTTATACTTCACGAAAAAAAAAGAGGCGCATTTTATTACTGTTGTAGGACGTATTTACTGGTACAAAAGGACTGTACCGGATATCCAGAGATTCCACTCAAGTTCCACGACAATCATGGTACACATGCCTGGTACAAATTTGTACCAGGTCTTTCACACTTAGCCATTTCGGCGTTGCTTTCATGGCGGATCGTTGCGGTTGCGCATTCGCCTTGGTCAGGTACTTGTGGGCGTCGGAACACCTCCTCACCCATCACATGACCCCTGAATCCAGGCTCCCGATCTTCCCTCCAAGTATCAAGACGACAGCTCAAATTCAAGGTTGACTTGCCTTTGAAGTCCGATAGTGCTCAAGTCGCACATGCTGGCTTTGCTCATGGTTTGACTGTCCCGTCTCGGACTTGCACTGAACCGTCACAGCCTTGCACTCCAGTGTGCAGACAATTCACTGATGGTGGTGGGAACGTTGTCATCACGTTGTCATCACTCATCAATATGCAGCATCTAGATGTGGTCAATGCCAAAGAAGTAACATCTCTCCAATCATGATAAACCCCTGAGCTTCAAACTCCATTTCACCCCTCATTCGCCCCCATGATCATGAATCTGTACCTCATTTGCCCCCATGATCATGAACCTGTAACACCTGACGATATGCATTACTGTGGAATATGGTTGACACGCAACGTTCCTTTTGGAACATAACTGACCCTGAATCCAGCTTGGCATCAGTGCATGAAAATCCATAATGCCGTACATGACAATATGCACTCCACAGATCATGTTTAGCTTGTCATCAAGACAGTGATTCATGCGAATGTCTCCTCCATCACCATCCATCACCAACATGCCAGATGGCAGCTGATGCCACGGCATCTCACAACCTCAACTCCAACAAAGCATACTCCGGCATCCCTTCCCTGTCACATTATCCACCATCCCCTTGATTTGCAGTGCAGTATGATACCTGATCAACTGCATTGTCTGTTGCTCTCATTGTCATCATCATCCCAAAAAGTACCCTTGAGTATATCACAACCTACCATCGCTTTGGCATCGTAGCGAGACTCATTCTTTCCAACATTCCATTTCCACATGAGGGCTTAACACAGATGTATCAACTCAACAATGATTTCATTCAGGAACGAACTGTAAATTCTCTACACTACGTGCTCTGGAGAATGTCTGCATACGTCCTTTGTCCACTCTCACTATTTCTATTCGCCTCTACCTGATGTGGCAGGGGTCCACAATTGTAACTGTGGTCTCGA